AACAGTTATGAGAAGTACAAGCTATTCACAAAAAAGAGGTGAAATAAAGATTGAAAGAAAAACTTACGTGCAAAGTTCTACTTTTCAGGGAAGGGTATGTTCTCTTCACCTACTAACCCACTTGTGGGAGCGGCAACAAATCGGGCATACCAGCCACGATCTTTATCATCCTCAGGGCTAACCAAAACTCTCTTGCTTCTTGCCACGAGAGTAAAAATCTCGTGACGGAATAGTTTGGGAGAGTAAAGATGAATCAGATGATGAAAGGTGAAGGGTAATTGAGCCAGATTTGCCAAATACCTAAGGCATGCCACAACCCTCCATACGATAGGGGCAATATATCCTAAACACACATCAAAGAAACGGCAAAATTTAATGATAACTAGGTCAATAGGAGGCCTAAAACCTAATTTGAAGGGATATGTATACACAAAAGAAAAACCAGCTTTAAAGGAAGTAATGCATTGATTCTCATTAGGGACCAGAATTGGGAAGTCAAATTTCTAATGGCAGTCTCTAAGCACAACAGAAATCAAACCTTTAGTATTCTGGGACGGGTAAACATCAACACGATCATGAGAAGTCACAGAAGTGACTTGATTCCTAATCGATTCCCTACCAGAATAGAAAGAAAGTTCAGCAGGGATGATCTCATCAATAGAAGGTTCACGAATTGGTTCACTAGAATCTCTATTTCTAACAGAAGATCTATGTGAAAAAGAGGTCCTAGTTCTAGAAGATGATGGAAGAGTAGAACTAGGTTGAGAAGAAGAGTCACGTACAGATGCTGACCATAAACTACGCAACCTACCACCTCTCCTACTTCTAATAGGAGCAGAGAAGGGGGAAGTTCGTCTACAATGAGGACTTTTCGAGGATCAGGATTTGAAGAACACATAGTTGTATAAAGAAGTAGAACCTATTGAAGAATAGGATATGGATAAAGAACACTGAAGAAATTTTTTCGTGAAAGTAAAGAATAAGGATGTATTTATATGCATAAGCAACCGTCATGCAAAAAAGGCAATGATGGAAACGTCATTATGAAAACTGTCATGTCGTGATTGATGTAGCCGTAAAAAAGCCCCAGAATTCGCTGAAGAGTTGCAGAGCCAATCGATGACCACCACGTGTCACATGAATTAAATGGAAGTGACATGCGGCACGTTAGTTCAGAAGAAGGTATAATGGTATGTGAGAAACGGCGGCAAAAATTCCCACTTTAAATGAGATCCACTTTCCAAATATTCAATTGCTGAATAATTGGCAAGTTGAGGACTATCTGTATTGAGGAAAATAAATATTATACGTGGAATTAGTTATGTGGCTGACACGGCAAGACACGTGGATCATTAGAAAAGTGACATCTGGAAAAGAGTACTTAAAAAGACGTGAGTCTTAATAGGTACGAGTGAAACGTCTAAGAGACGAGAAGAAACGGTTGCTCGAGTCTCTTTAATAATTTGAAGAGATACCGGTGGAATGAGCCAAGACAGAAAAAAAAGGATAGATTCATTGGTCTTCAATTAATGAGCATGAATGATTACAAACGTTACAGAATCTTCATGAAACAGTTACGATTACCAATTATAATCATTAATGTCATTAATGCTCATAATGACTTGGTCATAAAGGGGAAAAGACATTGTACATAGAGATGACTATATAAGGAATAGAAATATCATTTGTATAGACACGTTCTGATTATTACTGAATACAATTATTTACTTTTGCTTCACATTGATTACTTTGCTATTTCATATTCTAATTTTCCTTTCTTATTGCAAAAATATTCCTTTTCTTGATTATCAGTAACCCGAGTACTTCTAAAGATTGACTTTGACCGAAATTCCTATTTTTTGATTAAACCAACTATTCCATATACCATGACAATGATTAGAGGAATATGGAATAATTTGACGTTGATTTGTAAATGTGATGAATCAAATTGGTAATTCACTCCCATCAATTGATGATTTAGAAGGAAAAAGGGTCAAATTTGATTCTGTATTATTTATAATTGACAACTTTTCCGTCAGTAAATTGTCACTCTAATGGAGTAGTAAATTGACGCCTACCAGAGCTCCAACCTAAGGGAGTTATTAATCATATTCAAAAGTTGAGAAGTAAAGTTTGACCTTTTTCTTCAATGTATTTGGACACGTGGATCCATCAATTTTACGTTGGAGCTCCGTTAATGACAAAGGCAAATATATACTCCATCCGTTTCATATTAGATGAGGTACTTTCCTTTTTAGTCTGTTTCAAAATAAATGACACATTTTTAAATTTGGAAATAATTTAACTTTAAACTCTTCACTTTACCCATTTACCCTTAATGAGAAGCTTTTATAGCCACACAAATGTCATGACCCCACAAACTTTTTACCCCTTAAGCTTTAAGACCACAAGTTTCTAAAGTCTTCTTCATTTTTCTTAAACTCCGTGCCGAGTCATACTACTTCATCTAATATGAAACGGAAGGAGTAATAATCTATTAATGATAGTTATATAAATAAACCAAAAGTATAACGATGACAAAATTGAGCAATTTCAAGTAGGGCTGCTTATCGGGCGGATTGGGCGGTTTTTTATTCTTAACGGTTTGGCTTAATCGGCTTTTAAATGTATTAATCCGCTAGCCACCCGATAAGATATCGGGCGGATTAGTATCGGTTTAGCTCTTATCGGGCGGTTATCGGGCGGTTTATCGGCCTAACATATATAAAGTCACAGTAAACGAAATGAACTAGGATGATTACTGACTACATATCATTTGAGATTTAAAAAGCAAAACACGGTGCCACTCAGTCCATGATGAGCCGAAAACACAAGCTGCTGGTACAAACTGCCAAACCAACATTTTATTAAATTTGCTCATCCCAGAAAAGAACAGAAAATAAATAAAACAGCTAAATACCATAGGAGAAAAAATGAACAAGGATAAAGTATCAAAGCTACATCTCATTAATGTGTGACTAAGTAGTCAAAGTATCCTATCATTTTATCAGCTTTGTGAATGTGGTAATTCCCACGATTTCCCTGCTAACTTTTCTTCTCTTTTTTTCTCTTAAAGACTTCGACCAGATTTTCTGTAATGATGAGATGAATCCACTAAACTACAACTGTTTGTAATATCCCCCAGTAGCTTATAAGCCAAAGAAATCTTTTCAAGCAGTAAATAGTAATTACGTCTTAGTAGTTACTTAATACTTCCAGTGAGCAGTGACATCAGAAGAGACCAATTTCTCACTTCAATTAGCAAACAAAAACAAACCAAATTGTAACTTCAAAGCCAGAAATCCCTAACAGCAACAAAGAAATGGCAGCCACCATAGGAACCATGGCCATGCTCAACTTCAAAGAAATGGCAGCCATTACAGTCTCATAGTTTTGATACAACGTTCAACGCTAATCAAGTTCATGACTAGCAATACTTGTAATTTATTTACAATTGTAGACAAATTGACAATCTTTGGAAATCCAATTCAAAGCTTGATCATTAATGTCATGGATTTCCCAATGCAAGGTCATGCCATGTATCCCCATCAACTTGTTGAGCCTCTTGATCTGCAAACGGATATAAATCAATCATCCAAAAAAGAGAACTGATAGGAAGTAGCCAAGATGAAAATAACCAAAAAATAAACATGGCAAGAATTCCTCAGATGAGCAACATTAAAAACATAGTAATTATGATCTGTTAACTCAATAATATGTAATATTCCTGATATCATAACTCAACAAAATGTGAGTGAACAAGCAAGGATAATCAACATTGGGACTGAGATGCAGATACCACTGAAGGGAACACCACATCAAGTTACTTATTTTGCTGAGAAGAATCTTTACCCAATTATAGTTTCAGTTCCAGTGAGTATATGTTCCTGCTTCTGTTATCTATTCTTGGTTTGTTAATAATATCTTAATATATGTTGTAAGGCTGGTAATTTCAGAGATGAGGCATAAACCTTACACCAACGTGAATATTACATAACCTTCCTAAGCATGAATGCACAACATATTAGTCGACTACAGTTATGGTCAGCTTTCTGTGTGACCTCCAGAGAGCAAGAATTCCTCAGATGACCAACATTAAAGACATAGTAATTATGATCTGTTAACTCAATAATATGTAATATTCCTGATATCATAACTCAACAAAATGTGAGTCAACAAGCAAGGATAATCAGCATGATAATAAATACAAAGAAAAAGCCACTCGGATCAGGGCTTGAATTCCAACTTCAGGCACAACTTGAATGATAGGAAAGTGTACATGTCACATGTTAGAGGGCACCACATTGGCCTAAATTCGAATTCCTACCAGATATATTAACACTACACGTCAATTACGGAAGGGTCTTTTCCATTGCTGGCTAAATCTGAAGAAAAAAATTAAAATAATGAGTCGTGGATAAATATAAGCATATCAACAACACTTATATACAACAACATAGTAACAATATTATTACCTTGATCAAGATGCTCGATTTTATCAAGATCTTCCTCAACACTAATAGGTTTTAATTTTTCATTTCGAAGCCAATCTTGAAGATACACTAGAGCTTGCACCAATTTAGGAGCTAATGAACTCCTAAATGAATCAAGAAAACATCCTCCTATACTAAACGCACATTCGGATGCCACACTTGAAACCGGAACAACTAATACATCACGAGCCATCTCCGCAAGAATAGGAAATCTAGCTGAGTTCAATTTCCACCAAAGAAGAACATCAAATTCTTTAGTGTCATCCTCAGTTTCTTCACCTAAATATTTATCTAACTCTGTTCTAGTATCAACACCTCTCTCACTTTTATATTTTTTTATATCTTGCATGAGTGATTCTAAAACTCCTATATTTTGGGTGCTTGCTTGACTGTCAGAAAGCCCAGAAGTCGAAGTGTCCAATGAAGAACAATCTGAAGATAAAGCAAGCACAACACCTTTTGAGCTGGACTTTACATACTCACTAAATAATGAAGTCATGTACTTCGTCACTTCTGCTTGTTAGTTGGCCCCTGATTTGCACCAAACATCTTTACAAGTGCATAGCCAACCGATTCGATCTTGTAACGTGGATCCAAAATACATGAGATAAAAATTATCTTGTTCATTTTTCCTGGCTCACCCCAATTATCAAACTTTTCTTTCATATTCTTTGCCATTTCACTTAAAACTGTATCTTCATTTTCTATCAATTGCTTCAAATAAACAGCAACAACGCAAATTTCAAAAAAATGAATATTCGATGTAACATAACATGATCCAGATATCTTCAAAGTAAGAAGGTAGAAGATTTCAAGAAACTTTGTAATTCTTTTTACATTCTCCCAATCACTACTCGAAAGTTCACATGTAGGAATTCCAACATCAATATAAGAATGCTCAAGATAATGTCTCAAGCCAATTTCACTAGAAGCATAATGTGAAAATGCACTTTCAAATTCAACAGCCCTGCGCAACATCAAGTAGGTGGAATTCCATCTAGTTGGAACATCTAAGCATAAAGTTTTTTTAGAATTGAGTTGTTCAGCATCAAAACATTCTTGAAACCTCTTCAACCTCGCAGGAGACTGCCTAACATATCTCACTGCATGCCTAACACGTTCAATAGACACTGAAGATTCTTTTAAACCATCTTGGACCACAAGATTCATGATGTGAGCCATACATCTCACGTGAACGTGCGTGCCATTCATCAAATTAGTTCCCATTTTTGTTAATTGCTTAGACAATTCCTTTATTGTCACATCATTTGAGCTTGCATTATCAACTGTGACAGTGGAGATCTTATTTATCCCCCACTCACGTAAGCACCTACCAATACCATTTGCCATATCTTCGCCTTTATGACTAACAATAGGACAAAAATTAATTATTCTCTTATGCATATTCCATTCACTATCAATCCAATGGGCAGTGATACACATGTAATTAATTCTTTGTATAGAAGTCCAGGTATAAGTGGTAATACATACCCTTTGTTTTGTTTCTATAAAAAATCTCTTCAACTTTTGCTTTTCTTCATTAAAAAGATCAAAACAATCCCTAGTTACAGTACTACGGGAAGGGATCCGAAAATAAGGTTGTGCCACTTTCATAAAGTCTCTAAAACCTTCTTTCTCAACAAAGCTAAAAGGAAGCTCATCAACTATTACCATACGACATAATGCCTTTCTACATTCTTCTTGATCAAATTTCCAAGTAACAACAGCTACGTCACCCTGACTACCCCCGGAGCAAATTGAAAGCCTAAATTGGATTGTTTTTTATCAACAATAGCAGGGCGTTTAGGACACTTAAGCATATGAGAAAGAAGTGTCGACGTACCGTCTTTGGTCTTAAATACATACTCATGCAAGCAATAGTCACATTTTGCTTTTATACTCCCTTCAGAAGTAATAATTTCTGTAAAATGATCCCAAACAATAGACCTTTTTCTCCTTTTTTTGGTTATATTTGACTCCGTTGTTTGAGCTTGACTTGTTGCATTTGAATTAGAAGCCCCACTTTCACCCATCATCACCTTATCACTTTGTATATTTTCAGCCATGTATGAGTCACTGCAACAAGAAAAGAAAAGGAATGAGAATAAAGACATCAAGTTGTAAACTAATCGTATTTGGTTATTAAAGTGGAACACATTTATAACAAAGGAAGAAATAATACTGAAACAAGCCCCATAAAACATCTGAAGATATAATAAAGGAATAAAGATTCAATACTGAAACAAGACATTGCCTAACGAAGCATAAGAATAGAGTTTCAATAAGGAAGGATCATGTTTCCTGATCTAGTGATTCTAGTCTATTAATCAACACTTCTCTATAATCTGATATGAATTACACCGGCATATCTAATATAAATCCAACATATCTAATATATATGTCTTTATTCTTTATAATCTGATATAAATTACTATATTAGATGTCGACTTCCACCAGCCACGATAATCTGATATGAATTACAAAAATTACTTCACAAACAGGAAAATTTCAAAATTGTATAGGCTTCTCGTTATTGTGTAAAACACTGTTTTAGTAATTTTAGATTAAACCTAAAGTTAAACCAAACTGAAGTTATTACCTGCTCAAGTTAAACCTAAAGTTAAACCAAACTGAAGTTGTAAACATCCTATTAATTTAATAACCAAATACGATTAATTTGCACAGTACAAAACATAAGAACAGAGAGGGAAAGAAGAGACGGCGAAATCATGTTCTTAAGTAAGAGTACCTGGATAAGAAGATAAGAAGCCGCGACTCGCGAGAGGGAAAGACGAGACGACGAGAGGGAGACCGGTGGCTGGTGGAAGTCGACGACAATGAGGACTGTTGGCCGGTGGGCGATGGCTGCGGGTTTAAGCGTTAGGGTTTGTTACCTTATTTGTTTAGAGACAGAACACTGAGAACTGAGAAGTGAGAAGTGAGAACAGAAGCAGAACAGACGCCTTTTGGTTTTGTTAATAATTTTCAAGGGTTTTAGTTTTTTATATTTAATATATATATATATATATATATATATATATATATATATATATTCTTAACGGGTTAACGGATTAGCCGTTAAGAAAATTGAATAATCCGCCCCCAAACCGATAAGCCGTTAATAAAAAAAAATTCAATCCGTTCCCCGTCCGTTAAGCCGTTACCAGTAAGCCATTAAGCTTCGGTTTGGATTGGTTTTCGGTTTCGGATCGGTTTTGAACACCCCTAATTTCAAGTGGTACAGGAGCAACTTTAAGCATCTTCATCGCAAATAAATTGCTTATGTATGAATGTTTCCCTAAACACACCACCCCCCCCTTCCCCCTTTTTTTTTGTTTGTCCTTTGTGTAATTTGGCTCCACTAGATAATGATGTATACCTAAACTGTGTTTTCACCAATTTCTGTTCATTGAAATATCCTTAAACCTGTTCTTTAGAAGCATGATACCTAATATTAATTGCTCCTAGATTGAGTTTTAAAATACGATTTCAAGTGCTAATGACTGAGTTCTAAAATTTGTATTTGTACATATTTAATGTGAACTACAAATAATGAGAAGCAGGTATTATCTGCATATAATGGGAGAATTAAAACAAGTTCAAGATGAGTTTGCATTTGATTGATCCTCTTCCTTTACTAAGTTGTAATGGTCTAATGGACAATTTTTAAACGGAAAAGGGTCAAAATGTCACGACCCCGGTTCGTCCTCCGTGAGACATCGTGACGGCACCTAGTCTCTACGACTAGGTAAGCCTAACAATGCGGAAAGTAAACAAAATTTGTGGAAGAAATAATTAAAAACTAAAATAGTGAAATAAAACAGTATTTGAAATGCCGCTCGGCATACACAATATCAACTCTTGAAAACTAATAACATCTCCCAAAATCCGGAATCTCATGATCATAAGCTTTTGAATGTCTACAAGTATCTAACTCCAGAATGTCTAAACAAGAAAGAAAATACGGAAGGGCTAATACTTAAGGCAAGAGTAGAAAGGGACTCTTCGGTCTACGGACGCGGCAGATATACCTCGGAGTCTCTACGAACGCCTCGCCTCAAGCGTGATGAGTCTGAGTCGCAGTACCTGGATCTGCACATGAAAAACATGCGCAGGAAGGGCATGAGTACACCACTGCGGTACTCAGTAAGTGCCAAGCCTAACCTCGGTCGGGTAGTGACGAGGAAGGTCAGGGCCCTACTGAGGTTTAATGAAATACAAGATATAATAACAGTGTAGAAGGAGACAGAATACTTAAGTGCAACAGTAAAAGATAACACAGGATAGAAGAACAACAATAACTTTAACAGAAACAAAGTAATCACGGAAAACAAATACAGCTCAACGAAGAGATAGCAACCGGGGAATCTCCCAGGATACCGTCCTGTAGTCCCCAAATATAAATATCCAGTGGATCTCCCGGGTGCAGTACCGTAGTCCAACTCATAAATGCGCGAGGATCTACCGGAATACCACATCCGTAGTCCCAAATATAAATACTCAATACTGGGGGAATCTACCGGGTGCAATCCCGTAGTGCCAATGTAAAAGTGCAGGGGGGATCTCCCGAAATACAAATTCGTAGTCCCTAAGCAAACATACAGGGGGATCTCCCGGGATATCGTCCCGTAGTCCCAAAGTAACTACACGGCATCAACAAGAAGAATACTCAATTCAATCAAATTTCACACCAAGGTAAAGCAGGTATTCTAACCTAGCATGCTGCACATAATTCAAGTAGGGCAGTAGAACAAATAAGCAGTTAAATCAACTAGACATGCTTCCCTAAGCTAACAACAGGCTTAACTTGCAAGTAGTGTAAACAGGAAAGGAAAACACAATTCTAAGTACTTAATGGAAACCGGATTTTTCAAAATTGAGCATAAGTACGGGCTCGTCACCTTACGTACAAGGCATTTCAAACATCAACAATACCAAATCCTAAGGGGAGTTTCCCCCACACAAGGTTAGACAAGCTACTTACCTCGAACCGGCTCCAAATCAACCCGAAACCACGTTCTTGCCACGAGTATTCAACTCCAAATGGCCCAAATCTATTCAATTCAATTGCATAATTTAAATAATACTTCACGTAACTGATTCTACAAATAATTTCTAAGCTAATACGTGAAATTAGGTGAAATGACCAAAACGCCCCACGGGCCCACGTCTCGGAATCAGGTAAAATTTATATTTTCAGAATCCTCATACTCTCACGAGTATACATAACAAGAACACCGAAATCGGAGTTCAATTGACCCCTCAAATACCCATCTCTTAATCTCAAGCCCTAATTACCTATTTTCCTAAAATTTCCATCACTAATTAGGTCTTTAATCACATAAAAACGAGTTATGAAGTCAAAAATGTCACCTCCAAGTGATTCCCCTTTGGTTTCCTCAAAAATCACCTTCAAAAGCTTCAATCCCGTTCAAAAAGGGTGGAAAAATGAAGAAGGGTCGCGGATGGACTATTTAAATATTGCCCAGATATCCCTTCTTCGCGAACGCGGAAGGACCCTCGCGTTCGTGAGGTACAACTTCGCTTGGGTCCAGATTCCTTCATCGCGAACGCCATGACCAGGTTGCGAACGCGATGCCAAACTTCCTCTTCCTACGCGAACACGGGAACACCATCGCGGACGCATAAGTATAAACCTCCCAGCTTCGCGAACGCAGGAGACACTTCGCGAACGCGAAGAATTAATTCCTCACCAGCCCCAGCTCCTCTTCGCGAACGCGAGACCCCACTCGCGAATGCGAAGAAGGAAACCAGAACTGACTGCTGCAGCATTTTTCTGCAATTTCTAAGTTCCAAAAATGACCCGTTGAGCATCCGAAACACACCCGATGCCCCCGGGACCTCAACCAAACATGCCAACCAATCCTAAAACATCATTCAAACTTGTTCCAATCTTCGAAACACTCAAAACACCAATTTAGCATCGGATTCAAGCCTAAGAACTTCAAAAACTCTGAAAATACGCTTTCGATCAAAAAGTCTATCAAACCTCATCCGAATGACCTGAAATTTTGCACACACGTCACATTCAACACTATAGAGCTACTCCAACTTCCGGAATTCCCTCCTGACCCTCGGATCAAAATCTTACTATCGAACCGGAAACTTCAAAAATTCAACTTTCAGCATTTCAAGCCTAAATGAGCTACGGACCTCCAAAACACAATCCGAACATGCTCCTAAACCCGAAATCACCCAACAAAGCTAACGGAACCATCGGAATTCCATTCCGTGGCTGTCTTCACATGGTTCCGACTACTGTCAAATTTCCAAAACATAAGCTCTCATTTAGGGACTAAGTGTCCCAAAACTCTCCGAAATTTCAAATA